GCTGAAGCGGGTATAGTTATCGATAGTATCAAAGGACTGCCGCGAGCAGCGATATTTAACTTTACTTCTATATGAATTTACACGCAGCAACTGGTGAGCTCTCCTCCACCCAGCACACCGCCTGCAGCCAGAGGCTCAACGGCCTGAGACAGGGGAGAGGAGGCCGCCTGACATGAGTAGCAACGCAGCTCTTGCTGCAGCAGCAGCAGCTGCTGCTGCTGCTGCACGGCAACCGAAAAGGTAAGCACAAAAGAGCTCGCTCTGTGTTGCATGCGGTGACACTGTAGAGGATCACTGAATGCTCTAGTGGCTCTTTGTATGCAGCCTGCATGCAAGGAGAAATGTACGAGTCAGACTACAACACACGGTTGTTGTTGCTGCTGCTGCTGCTGCTGCTGCTGCTGCAGGGGACCACCGCACGCAGCAGGTACACCCGAGCCCCGTTCTGATGCATGCAGTACAGTGTACACATTTATTATTGTTTATTATTAAATGCTTCATCGTCACTTTATTATCCCGCAGGAGCGGAGCTGCACGCGAGCAGAAACACATACACGAGAGCAACTAAGATGGACCGGTGCGACAGGCGAGGGTAAGGGGGCCGCAGTGGCAGCTGAAAAAATATATTAAAACTAAAAGATTACAAAATTGAGACAAAAGGAATAATTAGAATAAAAACAAAACATTATTTTAATATTTTATTTCGTGTAAACTACGAGTGAGAGACATCGGCAGTACTGGTAGGAAGGGGCTGGCTGCTGCTGCTGCTCGCGTTCCGCTGCTNTACGAGTGAGAGACATCGGCAGTACTGGTAGGAAGGGGCTGGCTGCTGCTGCTGCTCGCGTTCCGCTGCTGCAGGGTTAGTCTCTGTTGTTGTTTTGTTTGCCTTTGACAAACGAGGATTTGTTAATTGATTAATTATGCATTTAAACAGTTCTTTATTAAAAAAAAAGAGAAGGACCAGTCGACTTTGTCTAGCGGAGAGGGCCGGCAGCAGTGCTGCTGCTGCTGCGTGAGAAACAGCAGCAGCAGCAGCAGCAGCAGCGGCAGCTCAGAGCAGGGCCCCAGCTCTGCATTCTGTCGGTTTGTCTTTTGTGTTTTGTTTGTTGGTTTTCTTTTTATGAATTGATTGAAGGGGGAGGAAGGAATTGCATTACACTGCTTGGAGGCTGCTGTGGTTGCTGCGGTGTATCTGCCTGGGGTCTTCGTACGGGTTGCTGAGCACCGTTGTCTTGGCTTTCTCTGTCTGTGTGTTTCGCGGGTTTAGTTTCCCTTTTATTTCGTCTTTTTGTTTTTTGTTTGTTGGTTCTATTCCCTCCTCTTCTTCAGCTGTACGTACACCCCAGATAACACGCAATGAGGGGCCCCGTCGCCGCCGGGGCCGTCTTAGTCTTCGCGCTGTGCGGCTTTGGGCATTTCTTCTTCTCCGCGGCCACTGCAGCAGTCACCAACAAAAAAGGTAACTCGTCAAAGAGCGTGCAGCTGCAGCAGAAACACACAGACTGCAGCAGCAGCAGCAGCAGCAGCAGCAACTGCAGCAACAGCAACAGCAGCAGTAGCAGCAGGAACGCGTAGGCAGCAGCAACAGCAACGCGGGACACGCATGTAGCGACACAACCAGAAATACACATGCAGCACCAGCAGCAGACACGCGTAAGCAGCAGCAGCAACAGCAGCAGAAACAGGACCAGCAACAGCAGCAGAAGCAGGAGCAGCAGCAACAGCAGCACAAACAGGC